TGCACGCCGACTGACTGCACGCTCATGTGACGTTCGGTACCGGGCCTCACGCCTACGCTGTGGGCCGGCGACGCCAGGCTGCGACCTCCCTCCACCACGGCGTCAGGGATGCTCTGCACGCCGACTGACCGCACGCTCATGGGACGTTCGTCACTGGGCTTCAAAGTCGCTCTTTGGGCCAGCGACGCCAGGCTGCGACCTCCCTCCACCACAGCGTCAGGGATGCTTTGCACGCCGACTGACTGCACGCTCATGTGACGTTCGGCACCGGGCCTCACTCCAACGCTGTGGGCCGGCGACGCCAGGCTACGTAACTCTGCTATCGTTGGATCCATAACGGATACGCTTGCGGATTTCATGCTTCTTGAGCCGTCATTAATGCTGGAAAGATAGCTTTCTTTGTTTGGGAGCACCTGGACCAAATGTACTGGCTGGCTGTCTGCTTGGACCTGTAAACCCCCAGAGTTTTGCCGAATTTCTTTTGCTGGTTCCTTTAAAACTCCGTTTCCCACTGCAATGGATGGTGCCGCGTTGCTCTGAGTGCCTTTCTGGGTCTGCTTCTGAGGCCGCGGTGAATCAACAAGGAATACGTCTTTCGGCTTTTGACTTGTTGAGATCGAGCTAAGAGACTGTTGTGGCGCTCTTAAACAAAGATGTGGGAGCCCATCAAACGTGATGGTTCTGCTTTCCGCCGAACCGCTCATTGTACCTTCATTGGCGACCAAAGCATGTGAAATGGCCGGCTGTTGAAAGCCCCCGTTGGGATTCTGCGTGGGCGAGCGTAACTTACTCTGGAGTAGCGCCGTCTGGTATAGTCGTCGGGTGACTGGAAGGTGATAGTCGGTAAGGCTGTGGCAGACGGCGTTGCCGCTCACCTCTACTGGGTGTGTTATGGTGCAATACACGACAAAGCCGCTGCTCGTCCCCATAATACTGAAGGAAAAGGACGAAGGGAAGAACAGGGCGTTGGAAATGTCCAACTGCAGCGCCTCGTAGAGTTCATCTTGGCGGTATTGCAATATGTTGCTCCAGCCTTCGCCCTCAAACTGTATGCAGTGGATCGTTGTTGTATTCCTACCAGACAGTGGATTTGCGCTCTCAGTCTTCCAAAGAGGTGGGCAGCTTTCGTTTTTTGAGAACTTCATCACGGTGGGCAAATCTTCCTGCGGCGCTGCAACCTTATCACTGCCCGCCACACTACCATCATGGATGCCGTTGATCTTTGGATTATTCTGCAATGGGGGAAAACTGACTGGCACCAAACCGGGTGATTGCAAGTCCCTGCCGTCGCCAACGGGCCCAGGGCTAAGTGTCGATCTCTCTGCGTATAAATGCCGCCCCGCGGAATAACCGCCGCGCGGTGGCTTCGGCAAAATAGCAGCCGTTGGGGCGGTCTGCTGCCATTCCCGTTGCGAGCTCTGCAGCGGATCATCAGTGAGGCGCGAACGGGAGCCCCACGCCTCCTGTTGGAGGCCGCTCGACTGCGGAACGCAGTTGTGGCGTAACCCTTCCGTGATGGGACCCCCGCACTCTGCGCACACGGAGATCATCGCGGAGAAGCAGGGAGTGGGTTCGGCGCACACACCGAATGAAATTTCTCGGCGTGTTGAAGCAAGGCAGAGACGAAGAGAAAAAGAAGAAGCAAAAAGTGGTGAGCCAAAGCAAGAGAAGCACCGCTTGGCAGGGGCACCCGCACCAACGCGGACACAGAGCCGCCGCCCCGCAAGAGCGGAGAAGGAGAAACGTCGGTTCGGCACGTTTTGCGCCGACTATTTTTGCCTACCCAACCAAAAAAAAAAGTAAAGCCCACCCACACCCACAAAAGAAGGAATAAGAAGAAAAACAACAACAACTGCAGGAAGAGGTGGCAAAAACGGAGCGGCGCCCGCATTCACGAATAACGATGAACCCATCTGGACTACGAAAATCCCACCACAATACCTCCTCCCCAGTGTTTTGGCATAAATTAGCTTCCCCACAAATGTCATTGACCAACTTTGGAACGCTCAAAGCAGGACGATGTCGTCCAGGCGCACGTGCAGGCGTTCCAGGGGGCGTGAACTGCTTTTGACCGTCTGCATTGGTGACTACCGCACCTCGGCGAACGCCATCTTGCCGCGTTTCCGCAAAAATTCTCCGTGCTTGCAGTGTTCAACTGTCTACTCAACCCAGCCGTCGACGGCGGGGGAGCCCACAGTGCTCATGCATATCAGCATGAGCCCCAACGCCATGGCGTCGAAGAGGCTGCGCATCGGCTTGTGGTTTGTTCAGTCGGTGTCTCCCGGCCTACTGCGCAAATATATATTTTTTTAAAAAAGCAAGGATGGCATGAGGAAAGAAAGAAAGAAGGAACAAACAAACAAGAAGAAAGAAAGAGAGTGGGAAAGAGAGAGAGAGAGAGAGAGAGAGAGGTAGG